AATTTACTAAAGTATACAGGACCGACGGTACCTACGTCGTAAGACGAAGACGAAAATAAGAACTCGCTACTACTAGTTCTACTTGTAACTAAAAAAAAAAAAAAACAGAAAAAAAAAACGTAAAGTGTCAACAGACGAGTGAGAGAGTTGTTCTCCGACTGGCTGGGCAAGTTCCGACTCCAGAGGGCTTGGACTGAAATCACAACAAACTTACGGTGTGGTCATCGTCGTCCACGTAGTTAGGCTTACTAATCAACTAACAATTCCGTTGCACCTTTAGTGTAGTAAATACGGTGTACTGGTCCGCGCCATTCTAGGCTGCTGGTTCTACATTTATCTCAAACGTAAGTAAACCATGTACTAACCAGGAGAAGGTCGTTGAATTTGTATATATGCATACTGTTTTATATAAAGCAATTAAACTTTTAATTCCGAATACTAATTTAGGATTAGGTTTGATTTTTACTCTTTTTATATTGGAAAATACACAATTAATAGCATTTCATACAGCGCCTAGGGTTTACCCATTATTTATTTTATTAATCTGTTTATCGTGTTTAGTTTTCGTAATATAGGGGGCCGAGCCAAACTTAATGAATTAGGAGCTGTCATTTATATCTAATACTAATAAAAGGGATAACTTAAGTTCGAGCAAGTGTCAAGCCCCCAAAGATCTGTTTCTTGCCAGTTTTAACGTATTATTCCTTCAATAGTTTGAGTCAGAAGGGAAGCATTGTTGATTTTGAAATTAACTAATTTGTGTTCCAATCCAAACTTCGAGCCATCTTTTCTTGCTACGATATTTTATATTATTAGCGATATTCCACATATTTAAAGTATATATATATATATTAATTTTGTTAGAAATCTAAGCGCACAGTACTCTTGTTTTTTTCTGTACTTATGAGTAGGTGTCTGGCTTTATAATAATAATAATTTAGTTCGACAATTTACAGTAGAAAACTGGATAAACGCTGATACTTTTCGAAGCTAATAATGGATTCCCTACAGTATGCGAAAAAAACAACAACCGTGTTATCACCATTGGTTTTGTTAGTTGACTTATGAAAAGTAATGGAATTCTTCATTTTGTATTTCGAAGCCAATATTTTATTAATCGAAATGTAAAGGTTGTTTGTTTCCTTGTGTTTAAGCGCAAAGCCACACAGCGAGCTAGCTATCTGCGCAGTGATCGGTTAAGAAATCCGATTTTTATCGTGTAAGCCCTAAGTTTACCGCTGAGCCACTGTTGGGGCTACTCTCGTGTTCCAAATAATAGTACAGGATGGAAAAAATGTTATGGTTATACAGGTTGAAATCATAGGATAAAATTTAATTTTGTGTTTTTCGTTAAAGATGACCGAAAATAAAATCGTGCAGACCCCAAATAAGCATTGTGCAGAGTAGAAAATTTCTCCAAAGTTAATACTCGTACAGGTATAACTATTTGAAACATGAGAGTAATTGTTAAAGTGGGATTGAGCGTCACATTATAACGCCCCCACGGCTGAAAGGGCGAGCATGTTTGGTGGAACGGGAATTCGAACCTGCGACCCTCAGATTGCGAGTCGAGCTCCCTAACCACTTGGCCATGCCGGGCCAAAATATTTTAGTTCTCCAATTATTTCAGTAGTATTCTTGCACAACCGGAAACGTGTTAATTTCATCAAATCTGTCCAATAATTTTTCACATATTTTGATTCAAAAGTGTAATATTCAAAATCTTAGAAAAAGAGGTTTCCAAGTTTGCATTATTGTTCTTATTGTAGCAAAATATGACACCTTTCTTGTTTATACTAGCGCATTTTTATAATTTCATTTTTTCCTATTACTTCTTTATTTTTATAATTAGATCCACATCATCTGTTCTAAACCCTTTTCATCTTAAATATCCGTCAATTTTTTGGTTACTCATTTTATCAATTTTACACGATACTCATTCTTTGTTTGTTTGTTTTTTGATACCCTAAAAAAGGCCCTCCGGGGGATCAGCTGTAAGTTTACGTACTTGCATTGCTAAAATCCGGAGTTGGATTTCTTACAGTGAATAGAGCGGATAGCCCATTGTGTAGCTTTATGACTAACTACATACAAGCAAACAAACAGATCAACCTTTGATGCCTCACAAGTCACTGTCTTAGAGGCCTTTCGTCAGTATCATAACTCGCCAGTTGAACAAAAAGCATCTTAGGTAGAGACACAAGATAGACCTGAAATGCTATTTTTTGCACGCCTCTGATATTAATTTTTTTAAACCTAAAAAACGGGTGCATCTCATGCACGTCCTGATATAATCGAAACATTCTAAACCCGTTTCTACGTAATTTCAGTACTTTTTTTAATCTATTTCTAAACGCACTCCATCACTTTAATAGTAATACTTCATCATCTTGTTTCTCTAATAAATCATATGAATTGACTTTTAAATATCGCTGTTATAACAAAACCACAACTACACCGTTTACTTTTTCTCCACTTTAGCTACAGTGCCTGAAACCAAACATTAACATAAAATATTTTCAGTGCTTCACTTGATACAGTTGCTGCTGTAATGCCGAGTACTCTCACATTTTTTGCAAACTTAACAATGCACATTATAAATTACTTAAAAAAATAACATTACTTAGAATGTGTAAGAGTAATGAATTTTCATTTTCGGAAATCAATAAAGGCTTAATTAAACAGATCTTACTTCCAAGTAACAATATCCATTTCGAAATCTTGATTGACATTTTTAATGTTTTCCACAATGGCGCTTCTAATTTAAAGAGGTTCTGAAAGTTAGTTAACGTTTTAAAAGCTGTCAAATGTGGACAAATATAATATTACAGAAGTGTTTATATTTCACAAATCCTGTCAAATAAGACTAATTGCATTCTGGGAAAACTTCGATTTTATAATAATCAGCAACAGATAATTTGTTCAGAACTTAAAATATCTTTTGTGACACAAAACCCTGTAAAATGACACAAAAACCCAGTAAAGTTGTTAACACTGGACGACAAATTAGAAAAATTGTACACATACAATAACGTTCACTTCTTCATGTAACAGCTCTTTAAAATAAGACCTAACATGGCCTGGTGGTTAGGGCGCTTGACTCGTATTCTGCGGGTCGCGGGTTCGAATCCTCGTCACCGAAGATGCTCGCCCTATCAGCTATGGGAGCGTAATAATGTGATGGTTAATCCTACTTTTTGTTGATAAAAGAGTAGCCCGAGATTTGGCAGTGCCTTCCCTCTAGTCTACCATTGCTAAATTAGGAACTGTTAGCGCAGATAATCCTCGAGTAACTTTCACAAAATTCAAAAGAAACTCTTTAAAATAATAAGTCCATACGTTCGGATTTTAAACCCATTTTTTAGTAGATAAATAGCATTTGCCCACCGATGGCTTAACGGTAAGCCTGACAGCTTGTAACGCAAAAATTCTTGGTTCCATCCCTACTCTTGGCGAAGCGCAGATAGCTTATTAAGGAGCTCTGCATTTAAACAAGCAGAGCTTAAATTATATTGTTTACAACTGTCCTTAGAGAGTATCCCAGACTTACTAATTAGTAATCTTATTAGTAATTAATTATTCTGCCTTTCTTTTTTTTTCTTCTTCTTCTAGTTCAAACGAGATGCATATGTTCGCAGGTAGCCCTCGTTTAGCTTTGCTCGAAATTCTGAAACGAACAATACATTTGGAAAGCTTTGCTTTATTTCGTATATAAACAGATCTTTTTCAATTTCAAATATGTAGGATTTATTTTCGTTTTTATTGGGACATATCGGTCAAGAAGTCAAAACTTCCTCTTTGGACATTTTATACGTTTTTTTTTTTCAGAGCATGGACAGTTGCAAGTGTTACCCTTAATTAAGATGCGAAACCAGTGAGGGCATATGACATGAAACAGCTCCCTAATATGATAAAATACGAGTTTAAACACGCGCTAACTGATGCTAAATGCACGCGTTCACGTGGTACTGTCATGTAAGATCATTTGTAAATAGAAGTTCAAACTCAATGATATCGTTAAATATTCATCTTTCACGTTTCGATTTTAGGTTTAATCTTTTTTCCGAGTTCATTTATTTCTTACCTTTATTATCCTTCTCTAAATTTCGAACAAGAAATATGCTGTCGTGGAGTGGTACATTTTTGTCAGTTATTTCGAGGTAGTGTTTTAGAAATGTTTACTGTTTTAATAGCTCTTACATCCCTGAGAAAATTACTGTGGTGTCTATCGGTTGTTACTTATGAAGGCTATACCAACGTATTTTACTCCTCTTATAAATATATCTTAAGAAATGCAAGTATTTTTAGTTTACAGTCAGTATATTAATTTAAAGACGCGTTAGAGAAACCAGCGCTGTTTCTGCATTAAGATAACATTTTCATTGTGTGTTTGTGTCCTGCGTGAACATCCTATAAAACTATCTATCTATCCATCTATTTAAAGGGAAGAATACAAGTTTATAACTACACTTTGAAGATAGATAGATCGTGTTTAAACACATGTTAAATGATAGTTAGCTGTGGTTTCTATATAGTCCGAGCCCGTAAGCAGCCTAGCTGCCATGTCATAACTAATTATTTTAATAGTGTTAAAGGAAAGCAGTACAACCACTCTCCTTGATTACATGGCACGTGCAGAGAGAGAGAGAAAGAAGAGTTCGAGCTTCAGAGCGCGTGCACTTCTGATGAGAGAACATATATGTGCCTGCATTTATGTTAGCATCTTTCCCTCGCCCTCTTAAGTGTGTATGCGTGTGCGCGCGTTTGTATAGATTTCGTTACGTTCTTGTGAACATGAATTTATGAACTTCCATGCAATGTACAGAAATCCATTAATGTTACTGTTGAATTACACTGGCTCATGTTTTACCCGTGTTGGGCTCAGCTCATGATGTGCTTGTGAATAAGCAGAAAGTATAAGCTGAATTTAATAAACCTTTAAACAACCGTCATGTTAGGACTGTTCGTTGTTTAAAAATCTGCGATAATAAAACTGTTCTTAGTTTCTGGAGAATACCTATAAGGTAAGCATTAAGTTAGGATTGAAAACCTCCTTCAAAACAGTAGCAAGTTTTCATGACGTATTATAAATTATATCTAAACATGAATGTCTCAGAATAATACCATAAAAAAGCCAGAAAAAAATCTGTTAGATAATTATAGTTTTAATGCTAGGAAGTATTCGTTCGTTGTTAAGCACAAATCTACACAATGGGATATCTGTGCTCTATCGCAATATCGAAATATTATTTTGCGTTATAAGCCCTTAGTCTTATCACTGAGTCACCGATGGACGCTTGGAAATGATTATTAAAAACAAAGAAGGCATTTTCATACTCAAAAC